GCCTCAGCCTCCATAGTAACTGAAACCCCACAGGCATTTGCCACTATGCCCAGCCAGTTTATTTTTATTTTTAGTAGAGATGGGGTCTTACTATGTTGCTCATGCTGGTCTTAAACTCCTGGCCTCAAGCAATCCTCTTGTCCTAGCCTCCCAAAGCCAAAGTGCTGAGATTACACGCATAAGCCACCACACCCAGCCTCAACTTTCATTTAAAAAAAAAAAAAATATATATATATGCTGAAGTTGATAAGATTTACAGTAAGAATGAATCTACTATCTGTGAAATTGTGAAGAAGAAAAAACAAACTTAGTTTTGCTGTCACACCTCAAACTGTGAAACTTATGACCACAGTACATCTATAAGATAAAACATACTATATAAAGGGTTTGGTACCATCAAGTTTTGAACCTTCACTAGAGGTCTTGGAACATATGCCCTACAGATAAGGGGAAACTACCGTAACCCAAAGGAAAAATAGGTGAAGGATTTAAACAGACATTTCTCCAAAGAAGATATACAGAAGACCAATAAACCTATGAAAATAGGCTTAACATCATTAGTCATCAGGAAAATGCAATCAAAACCAGAAAGATATCACTTCACATCTGTTAGAATGACAATAACCAAAAAGGCACAATAACAAGTGTTGGGAAGGAATTGCGGTACTCATACATTATTATGGGAATGGAAAATGGTGCAGATCCTTGGAAAACAATTTGACAGTTCCTTAAAATATTAAACATGGAGTTATCACATGATCCAGCAATTCCTCTCCTAGGTATATGCCCAAGAAAAATGAAAACACATGTTCACATAAAAATGTATACACAGTATTCACAGCATCATTATTCATAATAGCCAAAAAATGAAAACAACTAAAATTTCTATCAACTGATGAACGGTTAAATAAAATGTTGTGTTATCCACACAATGGAATATTACTTGGCAATAAAAAGAATGAAGTACTGATACGTATCACGACATGGATGAACCTTGAAAACATTACCCTTAGTGAAAGAAACCAGTTAGAAAAGACCATATACTACCCAGGCGCAGTGACTCACGCCTATAATTCCAGCAGTCTTGGAAGCTGAGGTGGGCAGATCACTTGAGGTCAGGAGTTTGAGACCAGTCTGGCCAACATGGCGAAACCTGTTTCTACTGAAAATACAGAAGTTAGCTGGGAGTGGTGGTACATGACTGTAGTTCCAGCTACTTGGGAGGCTGAAACAAGATAACTGCTTGAACCCAGGAGGTGAAGGTTGCAGTGAGCAGAGACTGCACCAGTGCACTCCAGCCTGGGTGACAGAGTGAGACTCTGCCTCAAAACAAAACAAAACAAACAAACAAAAAAACCAACAACAACAAACAAAGATCATATAGTATATGATCTTATTTACATGAGATGTCTAGAATTAGCAAATTATCTATAGAGGCAAAAAACGATTGCTAGGGTGGGGATTAGTGTCATGGTGGGGAATGGAGTCTTACTGGTATTGGTACAAGGTTCTTTTTGGAGTGATGAAAATGCTCTAAAATTGACTGTGATAAGGGTTGCATATCTCTGTGAACATATTAAAAGCCATGGAATTATATTTCAATGAGTTGGGGTTTGTTTGTTTAAAAAAAAAAGTTTTAAAAACAGGCTTTCCTTACAAAGCAAAAAAGCCCAAGCTTTCCAAGTAACTCTAAATATACAGGTAAGGCTGGAAACCAAAAGTATAGAGGAATAGAGACTAGGGAAAATGGAAAAGAAGGGGGAAAAAGACCATTAAAAAGCTAAAATGAAGTCATTAGTTCAAACAAGACCTGTTCATTGTTTTATAGTCATATCTTGCAGTTTGTTTTCAGTGACTGTTACTTACACAACACAGTCTGTCCACAAGATTAAAAGATTAGAACCTTTATGTAGGAGAGATAGCATATTACAAAAAGACATATCAGTTCAAAAGAACTGATAGTCAGAAAACTTGGGTTCTAGACCTGGATCTGCTACTAAATACCTATGACTGAGAAACTGGTTACATAATTTTGCAGTTAGAAAACCTGTTGTAGCTACTTCATTAATAGTACAAAAAAAAAAAAACCACTAACAACAACCTCACAATAGTTTTCTGTTTGATAACATTTCCTTGGAAGCACTTTATATTTCCTAAACAGAAATAGCTATACAGAATGAATTGACATTATATTAATTTTAAAGCTCAGGAGAAACCTTTTTAGATGAAGCAAGATTTCAATTTGGATTGGAATATATTGGGTTACTTTTTAAATTTATATTTAAAAATTTCAGGAATTAAGGGCAATGAAAATTGAGCTTACTAAATGCCATATGATATTGTTGGCTGACATCAGAAATAGAAAAAATAAATTTAAGTGGAAAAACTATTAGCTATTAGTTTAGCTAATACTATTACACCCAGGTCAATTTCTCAGTTTTAACTATGGCTATGTAAAATGTTAATATTAGGGGAAACTGGGTAAAGGGTATACAGAAACTTTCTGTATTATCTTTGCACCTTTTCTATTACTGCAAAATAAAAGGTGATTTAAAAAGTAATAAGGAAATTAAAACACATCTTCGTATCCAACTAATTCTTACTATTTAAATGATCTCTACAATTGAATTATACAAGATATATTTCCAAAAGTACTTAATTTTCTAACTCTATACACGTAACTGTTCAATCAATAAACATTGATTTAATGCCTATTCCATGCCAGATACTAGAATAAAGAGTTAGAAGACATAGTCCCTGACGAAAAGAAGCTCACACTCTAGTAAAAGCTTACACTCCAGAAACAAGAAAGGCTATGACAGAAGGTAAACACAGTGACACAGGGCATGTAGTAAAGTTAAGGCAGAAAGTGGGGGCATGGTGTGGATGGACAACGGATGACAGAAATGCTTCACAAAAGGTTTCCTGTAAGGGATAACATCTGAGCAGAATCCTAAAGGAAGGGTAAGAATTAGTCAGATGGAGGAAGAAGGGTAAGAATTAGTCAGATGGAGGAAGGGTAGCAAAGAGGCTAGTCTAGACAAGTTCAGTAACGTATAGTCTAGTGTGACCACAAGTAGGAGGGGAAAATGGGAGACATTGGTAGAGCCAAAATCACGAAGGGTCTTATAATAAATGTGGAATTTGAATTTCATCCCAAAGGTTATGGGGAGATAACAAGGGATTCTTTTCAATCAGGGAAATGATATGATCAGATGTGCACTGTAAACCCATAACAACAACAAAAGTATATTTCCTATACCACATTAATTTTAACATGTCATATTTCTACAAAATGACTTGAATCATTTGAAAAACCAGATTTCTATAAATGTATGTTGTTGGTTTCTATAAAGGCTCATAGGATTTTCTTTTTTATTTTATTTATTTTGAGACAAGGTCTCACTCTGTACCCAAGCTGGAGTGCAGCAATGCAGTCATGGCTCACTGTAGCCACAAACTCCTGGGCTCAAGTGATCTTAGTCTCCTAAATAGCTGAGACCACAGGTGCAAGCCACCACACTTGGCTAAATTTTAAATTTTTTGTGGAGATAGGGTCTCCCTGTGTTGCACATGCTAGTCTTGAATTCCTAGGCTCAAGTAATTCTTGCACCTCAGCCTCCAAAGTGCTGAAATTACAGGCATGAGCCACCATGCCAGGCTGATTTTTCTTTATTATTATGATTTATTTATTGATTTATTTTTAAAATAAGGTCTTGCCCTGTTGCCTAGGCTGAAGTGCTGTGTGGCATGGACATAGCTCACTGCAGCTCCAAACTCCTGTGCTCAAGTGATCCTCCTGCTTCAGCCACTTGAGTAGTTATGACTACAAGCACCTGCCACCATGTCCAGCTAATTTAAAAAATTGTTTTGTCGGGACACGTTTTTGCTATGTTGCCAAGGCTGGTCTTGAACTCTTGGCTTCCCAAAGTGCTGGGATGGTACGCGTGAGCTGCCATGCCTGTTGAACCAGGAGGTCAAGGTTGCAGAGAGCCAAGATGGTGCCACTGCACTCCAGCTTGTTGTCAACAGAGCAAGACTCTGTCTCAAAACACAAAAACAAAACAGAATAGCCTTCCTCTTGTCTTGGGCAATTAGGCAGAATTTTTGCTCAAAATCTTAATTATTATTTTTGCTTTCCTAGCATGTAGTGGGAGTTATAAATTAGTTATGAGGTAACTCTTGCACTGGGACAGAATTCAACCTAGTATTAGAACTATGCAATGTTAAGCATTAGACTAAATCTCAAACTGGCTTGTTTATTTAACCACCAGCTACTGTTTCTTAAAAACAGAAATGCTAAGGATTACAAAGAAATGGGAAAAAGATGTCCAGAAGAAAAAAGCAGCGTAAGAGGGAAAACTATCATAATTTCTCATTACTATCAATGACAAAAGGAGAATGTCTCACTTAAATCACATTATCTTTCCTACATCCCCATGATCCCATCAGATAAGTCTTCTAACTTTACCACTGAAGCCTCTCCCATCCACCTTCCCTTCTCCTTCCATTACCACTGACCTGCCCAAATACCCCCCTTAATATCTTTGCCTGAATTATTCCAATAACTTATTTATCTATGTTCACTCTATCTTCCACAATAGCTACCATTAATTTTCCTAAAGCAATGTTCAGTAATGAAAATATAAACCTAATTAATAAGTTAATTCCTTAATAAAAATATTAACAAATGGACCTTTAATCCTAACATACTCAAAGGAATACAAACATAAAAGATATACAAAAGTTGTCTGGTTCCTTTTTTTTAAATAAATAGAGACAGGGTCTCGCTAGGTTGCTCAGGCTGGTCCTGAACACCTAGGCTCAAGGGATCCTCCTGCCTTACCTTTCCAAAGTGCTGGGATTATAGGTGTGAGCTACTGTGCCTGGCCTAGTTACTTTCATCTTCACAAAGAAGAAAATGCCTTTGGGATCTAGGAAAGGTGCCTCTGCCCACCCTTAATAATTCCCACATCAAAATATCCAAAAACCACACTCACATTACTGGCTGTTGTGCAGTCTCTTCCACATATGGAGTAAAACTGGGAAGCATAGTAGGTACAGCTATCAGCGAAGCTGTATTGCCACGAGGCTGGAGATTAAGAAAACTAAAATTACCACAGTTCTATGTTCTGAGACAGCATATATAGACCATGCCTAATTATTTAAGAAGAATTCAAAGAGATGGTAAAAATACTCCTCTACTCTAAATGTGAAGTCTCTGTTGTGTTGGCAAAACATTGAATCTAAGAGTTCTTACCCTGTGTTCCAAGGGCCTGCCTGTGTTCCAGGGGCCTGCTTGTAGCTCATTTTCTTTGGCCCTGGGCACGGGGGGTGCTGTCCATGGCTGGACTGTAGGCTTAGACAACTCTTCTCTAGAAGTCTCATCAGTGTTTTCATCAAAAACAGTAATTCTACTATTACTTTGCATCTGTTGAGGAAATGGATTTTGGAGTCCTCTGTTCTGGCTTAGAGCTAAAAGCAAAAATATTAAAACCTCATGTAAAACATTTCATTATCAACTTAGATGCCAGATAAAGTATACCTATTCTTCCCCAACTCAAGGAGAATATTTCCACAACAATAGGAAAAAAAAAAGACATTTTAAAAATAATCTTAAAAAAACGTAATTAATCGAAAATAGAACCATTTTATCCATTCTTTGTTACTTCTCCCTTCTTTTCCCTCCTTTAATCATCCATGTTTTATTCATAGATTTCCAAAAAAGACGTTCTATATCTTCCTTCAGTCATCATTATAACATCATCTAGTTTTATCTGAAACAAACCTAAGTTTTATTCTTCAGTTTTAAATTTTCTCTCAGTGGAAATCAGCAGAGATATACTGGAACTAGAGAATACAAAATTAACTCATTTATTAGGAGTTTTCTCTGTTGTGGGGCTGGTTATTAACCAAGCTTCATCACGAACTGGATGAAATAGCCTTTGGGACCATATACTCCCTATATCCTAATTCTAGAATCACCAAGCACCATTCTGATTATTGATAAATTGATACCAGGAAAGAAAGATTTAAAAAACCAGTCTGGTTTACATGTCTAACTGCTACACATTTAGTAAGCAAAAGCTTATTATTCTCTGTACCTTCTGCTCAATTTTGCTGTGTACCTAAAACTGCTTTAAAAAATAGTCAGTGTTGGCCAGGCACATTGGCTCACACCTATAATCCTAGCTACTTGGGAGGCTGAGGCAAGAAGACTGCTTGAGCCGGGAGTTCGAAGTTACAGTAAGCTATGATTGCACCACCACATTTTAGTCCAGGCAACAGAACAAGAACCTATCTCTTAAAAAAAAAAAAGTCAATGTTAATTAAAAAAAAAAAATTATTGTTAGCTTTGGGTATACAGAGTGTCTAATTTCTGGTCCCAAAGGGCTGAAGGCAGGGTTCTTAACCATGTTAATATCATTCTCTGAGGCTTTGGTATATGTAAGCTTCACTTTGATATCACCTGCTATGCTACTAAATATCTTCTTTCAACTAACAATCCAAACTCAAAATCTTGATGCTTCCTCAATATTAGGTCTTTCTTAAGACACAAAATTACTGATGCATTTTGATTTTACTGTACACTATAATATTGGCTCTCCTTTGACTGACTTTTTTGTGTACTCAGTACTCAGCAAACTAGAACAGTGTCCACAGGTATATGTATGTACTATCTTCTTACATAATTTGCCTACCGCTAGAAACCAAGAGTTTTCCAAAGTAATGTTTAAGAAACTTACCCTTGAGAGAACCACCTACACGGATGATTGGAGCTCTTGCTGTCTTTTTCCCTTTGCTCTTTAGTTCAGCTAGTGTGCTTCGTTGAGGTACAGAAGACTCAAAAACTTCCTCTTCCTCTTCTTTCTCAAGTGCCAAAAGAGTTTGTCGAGACACTCGAGCTTGGAATTGTCTAAAGTAGCAGAATGGACAACTAGCTTTTAGTGAGGTGTACACTACTTTACCAGACTAAAAATTTCTAATTTGTTAAAGTAAACAACAGGCTAGGGGAAGAAACACAAAAATATCCCAAAGAATGTGTTTATTCTCTTGGAAGTAAAGAAAGTCACCTTAACATCATAAAAGTTTTGGCTAGAATGATTTAACTCTCCCTTTAAAATGCTCAAGTTCTACCAATTTAAATTTCTCTGAAAATCACCACTAAGTGTGATCTGAGGATCAGGTTAGGGTTACTAAGACTATAATCACACAATGTATGAACATCAGAGTTTCCCACCAACTTTTTATTAGAAAACTTGACACACCAATTGTTAACATTGTGCCACATCTATTTTATCACTGGATGTCTCTTTTTCTATACACACACATGCACACGCACACCCACATATAGAGTTTCTCCTGGCCCATATGAAATGAAATTGCATATGACATGACATTTTACTTTAGCAAAGCTGGCAGAAGTTTGAAAAGTAAACTTCCTATGCAGCTGCCACAGTTTTAAGTACTATCAGAAGAGATTCTCCAGTCCTACCACTGCTTCATTCGACTAGCCTTAAAAAGTATTATCAGAAAGGTTTAAAAAAAAAAAACAAAAAACCTCAAAACCCAGAATACATTGCAAGTACTGGCTAAGATGCAGAATGCCCACTATAGCTTCTCTCTCCCTCTCTCACTGATAGGAATTAAAAATGGTAGATAATATACAATTAAAAACAGTAGGCAACTAAGGGCTCTGAAAAGTCAACAAAATCAAGTGGACTGTGGAGAGGGGTCAAAACTTGGAACAACCCACACAGGGTTGTTTCCTTTTTTTTTTAAAATCTCTTCTATTTTCTCTTGTGGTTTTGAACCGCTGTAATGGTGGTATGGGAATCTAAAACTCCTAGAGAAACTCCATCTTTCTGGCCAGAGAACTGGGAAAAAGAGACTCAGAAGGCCAAAGAATATGTGAGGAGAACTACAAAGGAATGAGCTGAACAAGGGGATGTCCTAATTCTGCATGTGAATTAGCATACATCTTACACTCCCTCTTGAGCTGTGCATGCACAGAGTAGACTCAAAGCAGCACAAAAAAGCCTTTCAGAACTGAACTATGATATAAACCACTGACCAAATCCTGGGTTAACCCTTAAGCAGGACATGCATGGGGTAAACCCAAAGCAATATAGCAAAGGTCTTGAAAACTGAACTGACACTGGAACCAACAACTACACAAGATGACAAAGAACTTGCAATATTTGAAGTGTGATTGGCTACTAAGACAAAAACATAGATATTCTACAGAGAATATAAGCCAAGAGTATCAGAGTCTTACAACATAGTGTCAGGATAAATGTCCAGGGTATAAGAATTACTTGACACACAAAGAATTAGGAAAATGTGACCAATTTTCAAATGAAAAAACAAGAAGCAAATGCAAACATAAAATGACCCAGATGGAGCTGTTTTCAGATGGAGATTTTATTTATTTTATTTTATTTTTTGAAATAGAGTCTCACTCTGTCACCCAGGATGGAGTGCAGTGGTGCAATCTTGGTTCACTATAACCTCTGCCTCCTGGGTTCAGGAGATTCTTCTGCTTCATCCTCCCAAGTAGCCAAGATTACCATCACGCCCAGCTAAGTTTTGTATTTTCAGTAGCGACGGGAGGAGGTCAGGGTTTCAACACACTGGCCAGGCTGGTCTCAAACTCCTGATCTCAAGTGATTTGCCCACCTCAGCCTACCAAAGTGCTGGAATCATAGGCGTGAGTCATTGTGCCTGGTCTGGAGATTTTAAAGTACCTAGTATAACTATGTTCCATGAAATAAGGTAAAAACATTTGAAATAAATAGAAAGATAGAAATTCTCAATACAGAAACAGAAATTATAAAAAAGAATCAAACAGAAATTTTAGACTTGAAAAATACAGTATCTGAAATAAAAAATTTATGTTGAATGGACTCAATAGCAGGATGGAGATGGAAAAGAGAAGAGTAAGTGAACCTGAAGAAAGAGCAACAAAAATTGGCCAATCTCAAAAACGAAAAGAAAAATGGTCACACAGAGTTTCGGGGACCTATGGAATGATATCAAAAGGTTTAATTTGGGCAGATTCTTGGTAGCAGAGTTGGGGGAAATGGCCTAAAATTTGTGCAAGTGAAGACCCAGAGACAGTGAAGAAAGAGATGCAGGTACAACAAAGTGTTTTTAAATTAATGGCTGAAAACTTGTCAAATTTAGTGAAAGGTATACATTTACAAATTCAAAGGGCCCAGTGAACCCAAAACAGATTAAATGTAAAGAAAATCACATTTCTTTACATGTAAAGACACACCGCAATCAGACTTCTGAAACCCAAAGCTAAACAAGAAAAAATCTTGGACAAGGCCAGAGAAAAATCAACATATTATGTATAAGCAGGCACTACTAAATGACCACAGATTTCTTATCAGAAACCATGGAGGCCAGAAGACAGTAGGACAACATCATTAAAGTGGTAAAAAAAAAAAGAAACATTGGCTGGGCACAGTGGCTCACGCCTATAATCTCAGCACTTTGGGAGGCTGAGGCGGGCAGACCATTTGAGGTCAGGAGTTCAAGAACAGCCTGGCCAATGTGATGAAATCCCATCTCTACTAAAAATACAAAAATTAGCCAGGTGTGGTGGTATACATCTATAGTCCCAGCTACTCGACTACTTGAGAGGCTGAGGAAAGAGAATTGCTTGAGCCCAGGAGGTGGAGGTTGCAGTGAGCCAAAATCATGCCACTGCATTTCAAACTGGGTGACTCCATCTCAAAAAAAAAAAAAAAAGAAAAGAAAAGAAAAAAGAAAAAGAAATGTTGACCCAGAATTCTTTATCTTTCAGGAAAGAAGATGAAATGAGGACATTCTCAGCTGAAGACAAACTAAGAGAATTAATTGACAATAGACCTGCTCTAAAAGAAAACGGCTAAAAGAAGCTCTTCAGACTGAAAGGAAATAATACTAGAAGTAAACTTGGAGCTTCAGAAATGAAAAAAGAATAAACACAAAAGACGATTTTCCTAAGTTCTTAAGATACATGGCTTCTGAAAGCAAAACTTGAAATATTGTCTGGTGTGGTTTTCAGTGTATATAGATGTAATACGTATGGCAAATATACCAAAAGAAAAGGGAATATAAGGGAATCTTTATGGTTATAAAGCTTCTGTATTTTACTTTAAAGGATGAAATACTGGAGAGGATCCAAGATAACCGAAGAGGAACAGCTCTGGATTGCAGTCCCAAGCGAAAATGCAGAGGGTGAGTGATCACTGCATTTCCAAACAAATTTTTACTGCCAACAGACCAGGCAATTCCTGGGCGGAAAAGCACCACAAGTCTCCAGCTTGGCTGTTTCAGCCAGTGCAGCAGGTCTCCACACAAAAACTCACACAAATCCCGGCACCATTTCAACTGGCAACTGGAATGCCTGAGAGACAGAGTTGCCCGTTCAACTGAAAAAAGGGGGCTGAAACAGGGAGCCAGGTGATCTGGCTTGGCTGGTCCCACCCCCACAAAGACCAGCAATCTGAAATGCTCTGGATTGAGAGTTTCACAGCAAGCACAGCTGGACCCAGGATGGTCCAGCTCTGTGAGGGGAAGGGCATCCGCCATTACCGAGGCAGTCCACCATTACGGAGGCAGTCAGCCATTACCAAGGCAGTCTGCCATTACAGAGACAGTCCGCCATTACCAAGGCAGACCACCATTACTGAGGCAGTTCTAACTATACCCCTATAAACAAAATTGCAAGGAAGTTCACATAGCAGCAGGGCACAGCCCACAGCAGCTCAGCAACGCCTCTGCTGGCAGACTGTGACTAGGCTACCTCCTTGCTGGGCAGGGCAACTCTGAAAAAAGGCAGCAGAATGACAGGAACTTATGAATAAAGCCCTACCTTCCCAGGACAGAGCATCTGCAAAAAAAAGGTAGTTATGAGTTCCACTGTGGCAGACTTAAACGTACCTGCCCAGCAGCTCTGAACAGAACAATGGAGCTCACAGCTCAGCACTACGGACTATCTCCTCAAGCAGCTTCCCAATCCCTGTATAACCAAAGAGACACCTCGTAAAGGAGAGCTTAGGGACATCTGGCAGGTATCCTTCTGGAACAAAGATAACAGAAGAAAAAACTGGCAGGAACCCTTACACTTCTGCAACCACTGCAGGTGATCCCCAGGTAAACAGGGTCTGGAGTGGACCTCCAGCAGTCTTACAGCATGGGAGCCTGACTGTTAGAAGGAAAACTAAGAAACAGAAAGAAATAACTTCATCAGCAACAAAAAGGACATCCACTCAGAGACCCCATCTGAAAGTCACAAACTAAAAAGACCGCAGGTAGATAAAGTCACAAAGATGAGGAGAAGCCAGCCCAAAAAGGAAGAAAACACCAAAATCCACAATGCCTCTCCTCCAAGGGATCACAACTCCTCAGCAGCAAGGGAACAAAGCTGGATGGAGAATGAGTCTGATGAAATGACAGAAACAGGCTTCAGAAGGTGGGTAATAACAAAGTTCTCAAAGCTAAAAGATCATGTTCTAATCCAATGCAAAAAAAACTACGAACCTTGAAAAAAGGTTTAACGAAATGCTAACAAGAATAAACACCGTATAGAAGAATATACATGAACTATGGAGCTAAAAAACACAACATGAGAACTTCACAAAGCGTACACAAATTTCAATAGCTGAATTGACCAAGCAGAAGAAAGGATATCAGAGATTGAAGATCAACTCAATGAAATAAAATGAGAAGGCAAGATTAGAGAAAAAAGAGTGAAAAGAAATGAACACTTCCAGGAAATATGGGATTATGTGAAAAGACCTAATCTACATTTGATAGGTGTACCTGAATGTGACGGAGAGAATGAATCCAAGCTGGAAAACAATCTCCAGGATATCATCCAGGAGAACTTCCCCAACCTAGCAATGCAGGCCAATATGCAAG